ATCACCCGCGCCTTTTACGGCATGCTATTTTTAACACTGGGAATACCACGGGATTTCCCGTGCACAGATCGGAAAAATCTCCTTAGTAACTTTGTGGTTTATATACTAAAAAATCTTCAACATTGCGTGAGATTAGCCCCAAATAAGCCAAAGTTTTTTTAGCCTTTTCAATATATATTTTTTTAACATCTTTTTTTTTAAACTGACAGTATTGGTCCAAATGGCTCTGAAATTTTCAACAAATGGATCCTTTGTTGATCATTTTTCTTGGAAGCGGGTTCCTTTGAACACATACAAAAATGTATAAATGTTTTGAATTATTTCTCTTGTTTTTTTTTTTTCACTGTCGTGTGCTGTGTGCCTATTTCTATAACCTAGTCAGCTGCTTATTTTGCCTGGAAGTCGTTTTGCGCGTGAAACGCGCCAAGAACATTCAGCATCAAATTTAAACCGACTATTACAAGACCGTCGGTTTTGTTTTCATAAGAGAAAATCGTGTTTCGCATTTCAGAATTCATATTATGGTTTGTTTCACCACGATCATGTTAAATGCTGTCACTGTAACAAAGATAATGGTTATCAACATCTATTTTTTTTGTCCATTTTTACTTTCCTTGGTGATAAAACTTTGCTACGCATTCACAGAGAGGACGCGGTAGGATTGACTATACTTGTAGCAACCGATAAAAACGCAGAGCACGATACATTCTGTTGTCTGCTCATTCCCCCAAATCGTGGTCTTTAAAAAGTTGATAAATAACAATTCTACAGACATGCAATGTTAATGAGAGTGACTATATATTCCCAACAAATTACGTACTGCAATGTAACCCAAAATATGAATTTTTTTTACCGTAATTCGGTTTGAATACATGTATTGCGCTGATCTGTCAGTGCTAAATTTCAAAAAACTTGAAAAAAGACAATAATGGCAAATCAAAACACTGAATTTTGTCCTCGTGTTACGGTGTTTTTGACACTGTGCTTGCAAACTTTCAAGGACAAATCCACGTTACTTTTTATAAGTAACCTTGTGTAATCGCGCATTATTGCTGCCAGAAGTTTTTTTTTATTTCTGATCATATCGTTGAACCAAACATCTTAACAGGAGGGTGCCTTTGGGCCCTATTAAAATTTAATTTAAAAACTTGGAATTCCGCTGGGAAAAATCACATTTGTAAGTTTTTTTTTTTTTTTTTTTTGCAATTCCTTTTTCTAAATCATTTCTATGGTGGGTGTCCCCCTTTNCCCAAAATATGAATTTTTTTTACCGTAATTCGGTTTGAATACATTTATTGCGCTGATCTGTCAGTGCTAAATTTAAAAAAACTAGAAAAAAAGACAATAATGGCAAATCAAAACACTGAATTTTGTCCTCGTGTTACGGTGTTTTTGACACTGTGCTTGCAAACTTTCAAGGACAAATCCACGTTACTTTTTATAAGTAACCTTGTGTAATCGCGCATTATTGCTGCCAGAAGTTTTTTTTTATTTCTGATCATATCGTTGAACCAAACATCTTAACAGGAGGGTGCCTTTGGGCCCTATTAAAATTAAATTTAAAAACTTGGAATTCCGCTTGGAAAAATCACATTTTTAAGTTTTTTTTTTTTTTTTTTTTGCAATTCCTATTTCTCAATCATTTCTATGGTGAGTGTCCCCATTTCAACCGACAGTAGCAGACCAAATACCAGGCAAACAAATCCAGGATTAACTGCATCAATCTCTCATTCATCTCCTCAACAATTACCTCATACAGAGTATATGCCTCAAAGCTTTAATGAAATACATTTTAAAAATTTTATATTAATTACGTAGAAGCGCACTTATAATTAACTGTCAATAAATGGGAAATAGCTGCTTTCCAGTTCATAAACTGAGCAGTACAATTATCCTGCAATGGAGGTTGCTCTGTTATTTGTAAGTCACATTTTAGTGATCTATAAATTATCATTCATCATTGTCTATAAAAATTTAGTAAAAAAAAGGTAAATGAAGCTAAGTTTGAACTAGTACCATCAATGCATATACACTGGGATATGTACCATATGTAAAGATTATACTACCATCGTTGATTTCACAATTTCCTCTCCTTTACCCCGTTGAATATATATGGTTACACAGAATATATGATAATGTATACAAGTAGCCAGAATATTTATGCAAACTGAATAATGTTCACAAACAGATACAAAAAATGTAGAATGTTTCTTGGAAGGGTTGGCTAAAAGGTTTATTGCACCATAGTGCTTGGGATAACATGGATGAATAATTACTTTTCTTTTACATGTAAGTAGCTAAAAAGATATAAAGTGCACCTCCTCTCAACTAATGGCTGTTTTTACCAGGCCCTTTCAACTGTTATGTTAATCAGGCAGCCACATATATTTTATTTAATGTCACGTTCATCATCGAACTAACTTTCTCTTCTTGGAAATGACACTATAGTAACAAACACTGTCTGGGGTAGCGCTAGCAATTTTTTTTGCTTAGCCAAATCACCACATTTTTTTCAATTTGTAATCAAAATGGTTATAATTTGGCTTAAACATATCAAATCAAGCCCTTTTTCTTTAGCCATTTTAAGCCAGTTTTAGCATTTGGCTAAATTGGCGAGTGTCAGCGCTACCCCAGACAGTCTTGCTAATCTGACGTGATGCTTAACATCACTGTAGATCTACCACCCAAATGTAACAGATAATTAGTATGCTGAGGACAGTGCTCAATCCACATTTTTGCTAGTTCAAAAATTACATTCACAACAGAGCATGACTTACTCCATAGCAACTGCATGGTGGCAGAAACAGAGGAATTTAGGTATTGCACAGATGTCCCTTAAACTATGAAAATGGCAGAAAAATGTTCACTTCAATATATATATACTCATCATATGGAATTATTTTTTAAAATAATTCCATATGATGAGTATATGGAATTATTTTTTAAAAGACATCATTACAATGGAAATGCATGGCAAGAAGTAATGTTTGAGCAGATAACAAAAGACAGAAAATGCTCATGTAAATTCTGCTTTCCTTCACAGTACCAACTTGATAATTTTCTTACATGTGTGCTTCAAGAAGCATATTTACAT